ATTGTTCTTGTAGATCCGCTATCCAATAAACCTAAAATAGTAGTGCCATATATAGAAATTTCAAGATACGGTCGTTCATCTCCTTTAGCATGGGCAAAAATATAATCTAAATCTGCATTGCGAGATAACACTTCTGTCGGGTTAGAGGCCTGATAGGCGTCACAAGATACTTGGCCATCTATCTTGCGCCGGGCTCGTTTTTTGAACACTTCGGGCATGTCTTAAAAGTTACATTATCAGTGCCACATTTAAAACAAAATTTTCTTCGTTGCTTGGTGCACTGCGAAAAGATGTGTCCCTGTTCTTGACAATTCCAACACTTGGCCTGACTTGAATTTATGACGTTTAAGTTCGGTGTTGCTTCAGAAAGGTTCAAAAATTCAGAAGACTGAGTATAGTTGCTAACAGGTGCTATATCTTGTTCTACAGCAGAAATATTGATATTCGGTTTACGATATGCCAGTTGAGGTTCTAAAATTGTGCGGTAGTTTGTAGGCGGTGGTACAAATCTCTGTATCCTTATCTCGGTTTCTTCTACAGAACGGCTAAATTTAAGTAAGTCTTGGATGCTTACAATATCATGGGTAGCTAAACGGCTTTGAATGTATGGAAGTAGATTTCGCTTCATGATCTGAAGTCGGTGTGATTCAGGCGGTAAAACTGGTAATTTTCTAAAGAGGTTCTCTAGAGCCACAATGAAACTGATGACTTTCTCTTGGGACCCTTGTGTACGGCGTCTGATTTCATCCCAAATTCCAGTTTCGTAATCGTACGGCATGAATGCGTCCTTTAATTGACTAACTAGATCATTCCAATCAAGAAAATGTTTAGTTCGGTACCACAGTAAAGCATCTCTAGTCAAAAGTTCCGGTGCTGATCGAAGAAATTGATCCTTGCTAATGCCTCTAGAACGTCTAAGTTCTTCGAGTCTCTCTAAGAAATCATTTAGACTAGACTGACCATCGTATGTTAAGTTCCATCTTCCAATATCATAATGACGATAATTATATTCTGGAATCGGTTGAGGAATTGTAGAGGATACTCCACGTAAAGGTGAAAATTGGAAATTCTCTAATTGTTCAGCTAAATTTATAACAGGATTAGGATGGCTCAAAGTCTGATCACGGTAGGTAGTATTAGCATTTGCTCCCTGAGAATTGTTGGCAACAGAATCACTAAATCTAACATGTGAATTCCTAAAAACTGTACTAGGTACTGGTGAAAAATTCGGTTGTAGTGTAGTGGCGGTTACGTTGGAAGTTTGTTCCGGAGGGACAAAATTCGGTGAACTTACTGGCGGTCTAGGCGGTTGTCTATCGTGTCTCTCAGGAACTAATCTTGAACGTTGCTCAAAATCAGCTAAAGGCATATCTATCAATGATTCAAATGTATCATTGCAGTTCTGGCGAGGTACGGTTATCATATCGTCCACATTAATCAAGTCTGTGGTAACCACATTCTCATTGATACTAGGTACACCTTCTTGAGAAATTCCACCATTATATACAACTTCTAAATCCTCCTTCAACTTCATAGCTTTGTTCAGTACTTCTTTCTTCACACTACAATCTTGTTCGAGATCAGGAAATACTCTGCTCAATCTAGAAATTGAGTGCACTAACTGAGAATTCAATCTTTTACATTCGTTATCTTTATTTACAGTGTCAAATCGTTGGATATCTCTCTCTATGGCATATAATTTAGCTCTGCACATACAAAGTTCACTGACTGGATCAAAATTTGTTGTAGTAGGCATTGGTACATGACCTTCACGTTCTAGTCTTAAAGCTTCTCTAAGTGATGTTCGCTTTTGTGCAAAATTACCGGTTGTAGGTAATCCACGGATCGATAACTCATACTTAAGTTCCTCAGGTGACAATAGATTGACTTCCATTGTATTCAAATTTAAATGAAAATTTTAGAGAAAAAATGAAAAGTAATAACAATGATCTAAAATACTAAACTTAAATGTCCAAAGAAACTGCAAAATATATTAAAAATACTGAAGTATTTCCAAAAAAAAATATAATTAATAATTTAATTTAAATCTGCAAAAACTCTGTAATCTGCAATAAATCCAAAGTCCAAATAATCAAAATAAATCTAAATCTAAATTAATCTAAAGTAAGTCGCAAAAAAAAATTCCTTGAAATATCCCTAAGTAAAATTATTGTGACGAAGTCGCAATCCCGACCCCCACAAAAAAATAAAAAACTATAAGCTGGAATAAACCTAAACGCTTAAAAAATAAAAATCAGCTATAAAAGCTAGCTATAGTGATCAAAATTAACTCTAAAAGCTAAAATATCAATCACTATAAAATCGACAGTGCGATCAGTGTCCACAACAATATATCTCAAAAAAAATAATAAACTAAACTACTCTAATTGGCGTTAAAATAAGTAACACCAAAAATCCGCAAAGAGTACGGTGAGCAAAACTGTAAATTCGAACTACAAAAAAATAACCAGAAAATTACTATAAATTTTAACAACTACTTGTTAAAAAAAACGCAACTAAAATAATATACCTAACACCAGTGTGTTCAGCTCAGCAGCAACATAAATATCAATAAGCATAAAAAATTTCAATAATATCCTGAAAAATATACCCAAGAAAAAATATTCAAATTGCGCAAGACAAAAAAATCAAACTGTACTATAAATAATATTTGCAATACTTGTTCAAGTCAACACTGTGCCAAAATATATTAATAAAAGGTACCAAAAAAAATATAATAACAGCCAACCATTCCGTAATTTAAACCATACAATACAGGAAAAAAAAATTCAAAATAAATTTAATTCAGTTTGCTAATTAGAAAAAAAAATATATCAGTTTAAATATTAATCACCAAAAAAAAAATGACTGTTTGTCATACAAATTGCGAACCTAACTTCTTTTAAACCGTTGGGCGCCAATTTGTCATAAGAAAAAAAAAATAATAAAAAAAAAAGAAAAATAAGATAAAAATAATGAAGAAGAAATATAGAAAGGTAAAAGAGAAAGGTGAATTAAAATATTATATAAAATTATTTACTGATACAAAAAAAGAGCTATAAAAGGGTGTCAAAATATCAAAACCTTTTTTCTCTTATGACAACAGAAAAACTATAATTTATATTATAGCTGTGTTAAATTAAATAAAACTATGTTACGGTGAGATAAATTAAAAGATAAAGAAAAGAGACAGCAACGAACTAATAGTTATTATTTAATTATTTAACTCTTACTCCTCAAACAGGTCAATGCCCAAATCGGTAGCTTCTACGGAGAGTAGGGGGGTTATAACTAAATGTGTCTAAATTAAATATAAATAAGCGCCACCCACTTTCTGGACCCTAAGAGTAAAAGTGATGTTTCTGAAAGAAAGTGGGAAACAAAATACTAAATAAAACAATAGGAATCACTTAACTCATTTAATAAAGAAGGTTCAGCAGCAATCACGATAAAAAGGTAAAACTTTAAATATTTTATGTATGGCTTAAGACGAGAAAATCAGTTGTCAATATATCAAACTAAATTATAGAAATATATCAGATAAAACTATTTAAATCTTATACTGAAATAAACTTAATAACTCAGTACATTTATATACTAAGGCAAATAATGAAAAGTAATTAACTACAAAACAGTACAGCTCAAAAAGTATCGGCAGTACACAAGTGGTAACTTGAACGATAGTGTCTAAACTTAAAACGGTTAAATCGATATCATAAATCTCAAAATGGATATATAACAAACGCTATAAATTACTAAAACGGAAATACGTACTCGCGATACTTACTAGTAAGTTCACAGATCGAGCCGCAAGTAAAAAGTCTAAAGAAGTTAAACTACAACTATCTTAAATACGCAAAAATAATTAAACTCAATAAACGATTAATAAGACTGTTCGGCGGAAATAACTCAAAACAGTAAAATGAAATGAAATGGGTACTTATCAGGACATTCCAGAATCTCGGTGGTCGGTGACTCAGATGGTTGCTGACTTTTTGACTGCTTATGGAGACGGCGGACGGTGAGCTGGCTTCAATATCCCATAGTGGTCGGTCTCAGAAGGTCTTCTGGATCAAATGAGCTAGGTGATGAGGTGATGGGGAGCTCAGAACCACATGGTGAAGAAACTGGATACTGGCTGGCAAGAAAACGGCAGCATACCAAATAAAACGTAACCAAATGTTACAAAATGGTCAAAACCAAAATCCAAAATGAAAACAGAAATAAATAAGAATTAAATTAAATTAAATCCAACTAACTTAAATTAAATTAAATTAAATTAAATTAAATGGCCTGAAAAAGAAGTTCAAAATTACCTTCAAGAAAAACTACAAAATGGCGTAAAACATACCTGAGATGTCATGTGGCCATTCATTAACTCTTTTCTTCAAATTCTTGCTGTTAAAATAATTGGGAAAATCGGAAAACTCCACTTGAATAGTGCAGAACGGCAAAACTATTCACAAAGTAATTATTTAACAGAATTTGCTAGAACTTAAATCAGCACAAGGCTTTGATCCCAAAACGTGTCTACACACCAGACGGATCGTTCTAGAAGAAAGAATCATGGATGAACACCGGACAAAAGGGCAGAAAAAAAAAACACAGCAAATCAATGTTGCCAATAAACCAAATAACATACTCCCTAAGAACAAAACATGAAATACGTAAAATATAAAAAATCAATAAATCGAAAGTATTGAAAGTAAAAGAAAATCGAAGAATGAAATCGAAAGTACTACAGAAAATAACATTACGCAACCAATATACAATGTAAACAATCAAAATGTCACCATCAAATATAAATGTCATATATAACTGTCAATCAAACCCTATAATTCGGTAACTAATGCTAATATGCTCGATATTTACGTTGCCGCAGAATAAGAAATTACAAAATAACCTCAAATATTGTTCGGCTGTAAACACATCGCTGTCAAAACATTACTCAAGCTAATTTTAATAAAATTACGATTTAGCAAGCCTTTAAGAGACTAACTATCAGCCACACATCGTAAGTAATATATTTAAAAGTACCTATTAATAATTACTAAACGTTTTATTTACTTTTAGTTTATGATGTTCAACAATTGAATGTGCTACACTGATATCAACACTTGTTCGATTCAAAATAGTGTTAAATTCATACTATAATCATGGAAAAAGCTATAGCATTTTTATAATAATGGTACATTCCAAGGAATTTGTGTAAAATATGATAATATAAACCAAATTTAACTTGTTGAAATAGAAGGCATCGTATTTAGCTTCGAAGAACTATAAAGCAGTACGAGACAGAGAAATTTACAGTGAAATTAGATCCTTCTTTATGTTGTTAAAAGAAAAAGTGTAAGGCAACAGTAAATAAACATATTTTAGCCTAGAAATTATATTATTTACCAAATTGTTTTTAGATTTTAAAGAAATGGCGAATGTTCCAGGTTTGATAAAACAATAAACTAAATTCAAGAATTGTCTCTAAAATTACAATATTGAGCCCAAAATAAATTAAATTAGAAAAGAAATGTATGAGAATATAAATCCCGTAACAAAGTAGCTACAATAATTTCTTTCATGTTGCCGACACTAGTTGGTCGAGTTTTGTAAACACTGTCTTTAACATAGCCCCATAAAAAACAGACCAGATAAAATCAGGAGCATTTAAGTATTTTATTAATATTGGTGAATGCACACTGCATCTACCAGCTATAGAATCATATCAATTCTCTCTGATGTAGGATAAGTTTGCATTTTCACCAAATTTCTGGGATTTTTTTTTGTTTTAACTGACACAAAATGAAACGGCAACTAGTTGTTAAAATTGGACTAATTAGACCGCTATGTTGAAGTAACGTCAGACATATCACAGCCACCTAGATTTTATCAAATAATAAAGATCTATACTGTATATTGAATTTTGATGAGACATGAATTCTCCATTGAATATCGGAATAATATACTGGGTGTTCCCTTTAAAATAAGAGTGTAACATGCTTTTAAAAGTGACCAATTTTCAATATTAATTTTCTCTCACCCTGTATAACTTTTTGAATCAAGTTTTAATTTGATTATCTCTGAAAAGGTGACCTTGATGGATATCGGTTATCGAATGGAACACAACAGAGTTAGCATGGGACATACAAACTTTTGTTCTCCTTGGAGCCTCCACGGCGTATGAGAGGCGCCACCCTGTATACTATTATCACTGCATAAATAACCATAAGATTTTTTTACCAAAATACATAGTGTGTATATTCGCTAATTAGAACGATTCGCAAATCGGAATATCTCATTACAATTAGTTGTTCCGATTAAAGAGGTAGCACTCTATTTACAAAATGACGCCTTTGTAGAATGTAACGTATCCGACACCGTTACTATTAAATAATTCGATTTAACTGACGTTTCCTGATCCAGATACGTAGACGTGTCCCTACTGAACTGGAAATGCGTTCTGCATGTGTTACTCTCGGTCGGCCTCTCTCACCCGCCACAATAGCCGGCCGCTGGTGACGAAAACGGCTCTTCGCTTCACGGCTCCCGTGCACTGTTTAGCGCTTCTGTAATATTGTTGTCCTTCCTGTACACGCCGACCGCAATAAGCCATTCGTAGTGCATAGCGTACCATTTATAAGTTTTAATTCTGATTTAGAATTTTAAAATACCAGTTTTGTCCTTTGCTCAAGTATTTCCTTAAAAAACGCAATTGTTCGATCATTGAAGCTTTATTGACAATATTCGTTGTGAGCAGGCGCAACAATTCTAGTTATGACTGTTATGTCATGAGGTACAAAGATCATGTTAAAAAAAGATTCAAAGTTTTTTTTTAAACCAAGGGAAGAACCGTTTACTAAACAATAACCATTTTATTTTATTTATGACTTTGTAAAATTATCGCTAGACTTTTTGATGACTCTGATGTATTATAATATCAAATAATTTTGTATAGATATACACATAAGCAGACAGTAGTATCGACTGACTAGTGAGAAAGAAAATCTAGGAACTAGTGGGGTTGCAGTCGGAAAGATTTGAAATAGAATTAATACACTTTGTTAATTGTCAAGCTTTCGGAATTTATTAATTCCTTCCTCAGGACACTGAAATGGAAATGCATGTTATACAATTGCTATATGCAATAGTATATAAGATACATATTATATTTCGAATTCTGATCCACTTTGTTTGGAACATCCTTAAAAAGAAACTTAAGGTAAATAAATGTTGAATTTTAATATTTCTTATTCTATCATTAGTGAAAAATCGTAAACTAATAAAAATTATATGGCACACTTTAAATTTTATTCACTGTTTTTTTATTCTAGTTGTAAAATTCTTATGTTTTTATCAAAAATATGGTGAACTCGAAAATATTAGTTTTTGGGTAAAATATTATGTTACTAGTTTAAAACAATTATTTTATTTTGTTAGTTTGTTTAGTTGAGTCTCATTAACAAAATAACAAGGTTTGGAACAAGATATTGAAACTGCATTTATTAATACACCTAAAATTTGATATTTAATAACGAAATAAAGTAAAAAAAACACTTATTGATTTTTTAAATCGTAACTCTTATGTGAAAAGCCATTTTTTAATAAAAATTTATGCCAGTTTTTATTTATTTCACTATTCTCCCCTAACTTAATTTTTTACAATGCGTCAAATATGTAAGTTTAATTTTTTTTAATTTATCAAACAATTATTTTAATTTCCTTAAAATACTGTCGGTCGATCTGCACGCCACTGGAAATTTATGACCTCAAACGTCTAATCTTTGGAAACACCTACATTGTTGCCATCGCGCCGATACCCTGTTTCCTTCTCTATCCATTCTCTCTCGCACTCGTTGATTTTAGCAAACCAATGTGTGATGAAATTTTAGAGCGTCTTATGAATGGATCATCGTATCTCCCGAGTTTAAATATCTTTGTGTCGCATAGACCAAACCAGTACCGAGATCAAAACCGGTGTCGTAGTCAAAACCGGTATCGAGATCAACACTGTTGTCGAGATCAACATCCGTGTCGGGATCAACACCGGTATCGAGATCAGCCCCGGTAGCCCATATTTGGCAACCGGTGTCAGCCCAACACCGGTTTAAAACCGGTGCACTGATTTTCGGAAGAGGCCTAAGCTCAACAAAGTTATAGACAGTGCCTATATGTAAGTTCGAATTAAAACAACTCAATAGAACTTATTTGAACAGTAATTTGGGCGTATGCCCACCAAAAAACGTAAAATTTGAATTCAACCCTCTAAATACTTCACAGAATCGACATATGAAATTCAAAGAATGGCCAGTCTTGCGTTAATAAAAAATATGTTGCTGTTTTAAAAACTGTTAAATATAATTATCTACCATTTTTAGTTGAAATTTATAATGAAATTTCATGAAAAAAATAACATTTACACTTTATACACTAATTTGTATTATATTTAATTTATACGTTATATTCCGGACATAATAATAAATACTGATTAGTATCTACAATAAATATTTAATTCCTGAAGTAATTAATTTATCCAAAACTGTTTAATTTTAATCAACGTAAAGTTTACCATAATCATTACACTAAAGTTTATATATCGTCCAATAAAATTTAGTAATTTATTTTCAGTTCAATTAACTAAATACAAATTTGCCACATTAAAAATACATATAAATAATGTTATAATTAAAAGTTTTTTATAACATGATTAAATTTATATGTTACTAAATGTTACCAATATTTTAACTCAAAGATGAAATTCTTTAACTAAGAAAGCTTCAATTAAATACTAATCAGCATTAGCGTAACTAGCAATTCATCCTGGGGGGCCTGGGTTTGAGCCCAGGAGGGGCTAAGGGTTTTTTTTTTAAATTAAAAATAATTTAAAAAAAACACATTTTTTTTTGAATAAAACGTTTACATGAATTTCTCTCAATAAGTTTCATAGACTTAGTTATCAAACCGTGTTCCCGTAGATTACTTAAATACCGACAACTTTTCTAAAAAATAAAAATTAACACATTTTTTAAACACAACAAAATAATATTAACTAAACAAAACTAGAAAACGTAATTTTTACTACATTACAAGCAAATAAAAATTAATACGTAGCCAAGAGTCATAATTCAAGAATTCTCTGGGGGTGCCCAGTGAAACCGGGGGGGGGGGGGGGGGGGGGCACCCCCGGGCACCACTGTAGTTACGCCAATGCTAATCAGATGAAAGATATCTGCATGGTATATCGAAATGACAATACAGATCTTAGTAACTTTTTTTTGTTTTTGATAGACCGCTTTCATTTTGAGCATAGTTTATTGTACAAAATACACAAATTCTCTAACAATACGGCAAAAGTTAAATTATATCTTGAGGGGGCGGGGTTATTTTATTTTATTGAATATAAAATATTGAAGGTTTTTCTAGGCGAAGTTTTTATACAGATGTGTGGAAGTATCGATACAAGGATGGTTTGCATTCCTGCAGAGCCATACATTTATTTAATATTGTATAATATTTATATAATATCTACCGTATGGTGCATCGGAACGCGATAGATAGGAAATCCCATGTAAATTTTGAAAAAGTCAAATATTATCTCCCCAGATGATTTTATGCAAAAAATGTATGACATATGAAATGTATGTATGAAAAAAATATACATTAATTTCAAAAAATGTATATTTTTTGAAAAGGCGTTAAAGTTGTACTGTCGCATGTCGTCTAGAATTTCGTTTTATTTGGAATAGGCATCTAAAATTTATTTGCAAATATCTACCTTCAAATTATTAAAAATTTATAATACGGCACAAAGAAAGCTACAATTAAAATACCAACAAAAATATGATTTTGTCACTATCAAATTCGATATCACATTTTTTTTTGTTTGCAAGAATTTCTGTGATTTGAGATTTTTTTTTGAATTGGAATGATTATTTAGAAAAGCATCAGTTGAACTGAGAATAGCATTCGCAGTTCTTCGCATGACTTGTTTGCTGTTCATTACTCGATCACTCGCAGGCCTCGCTCACATCACATACAAACATACAAACATACATCATTAACAAAATGTTTACATAATTCCCCATTCACAGCCAAACAATACCCCAAATGATGTGAAATTCACGCCTCACAATACACAACTGCTGTTAAGGTGAATCTTTAGAATTCCACAGAGGTGTCATTTTCGGTCCATCTAAATATCTGTATTTGATATGCCCGTAAAGACGGTTTTTGAGTGTGTTCCACAGGAAGAAGTCCTACTAAGTTTTCCTACTGTATCCGCAATAAACGGGAGTCAATGTTTTTCTTTTCATCAACATGAAGAATATTCAAGTCATTGTTGTTTTCGTCCTGTTCAATTATTTTTGTCTTCACACTTCCAAGTGCTTATTACCTTAAAGCCTTTAGTTTCAAACTTACGGTTTATTCTTTAAACTGTTGTTTTTAGAATTAATTTAGAATGAGTGGGAGGGGGGGGTTAATCACTGTGACCTTACAGATCTAATGTGTGTGATCCCCTTTCTTGAGTTATAACTCATCATACAGTCTCAGGGCTTTGACAAAAGCCAGTATCCGGGACGGTTTTATGAGGGTAGTTCTCCATCTCCAATATCAGTCGTACCAAAGTTCATGGCACGAATGGTTGTCGTCTCGGCGCACACAGTGATGAGGTTTACTGGTATTTCCCCATTTTCCCCACAGAATATGCATTCGCCGTTTCTTCTTAGTTTCAATCTACTGAGGTGCTCATTGAGGAGACAGTGTCCTGTTAAAAACCTCGTGACAATCCGAAGATTGTTCTTACTTAAATCCAGGAAGATCTTTGATTTTTCTTGATCGTAAGCCCTCAGAAACTTCTTCGAGTTCCGTTGTAAGATTCCCATTCCAGGTTGTGGATGGAGTCTTCCAAGTTCTTGAGTTCCGCCTTGAGTTGGTTACCACTTGGAAAGCAGAACGGTTCTGGTCCAGTTAGTGTTCGCTCCTTTTCTAGCTAGATCATTTGCTTTTTCATTGCCTTCTATCCCTTGGTGAGCAGGCACCCAGAGTAGGAGGATTTTGTTTTCTTTGTCTACTTTATTCAGCTTCTCTATGCATTCTTTGACCAATTTCGAATTGATTGATACTGAATTGATCGCTTTTAATGCTGCTTGACTATCAGATACGATGGCTATTTCTTGTTTCCGATAGTTCCTATCAAAGATAAGTTGTACGCATCTTTCGATAGCGTAGATTTCTGCCTGTAGGATGCTAGGGTAGGTGCCCATTGGTTCGGAGTATTTAGTTCTCGGCCCAAATACTCCGATCCCTGTTCCCGCATTGGTTTTGGAAGCATTAGTATACCAAGTTATGGTATGGTCTTTTAACTGCTGGGTAGACGTTCCTCTCTTCCAATCCTTTTTATTGCTTAATACTACATTGAGATGTTTCTCAAAGTTGTACGTTCTTGGCATATCATCCACTGGGCGTTGCAGGAGTGGTATTTCCTTTTTGAGGATGTTCCAAGCTCCTGATCTGACAATTCTCCCAGTACTGATTCCGTTAGTGACCATTCTAATCATTGTCGCATTGGCATATCTACCAATGACAATGTGCAGTGGTGTTAGATCTAGAATGACCTCCATTGCTGCTGTTGGACAGGTTCTCATGGCTCCTGTGAAACTGTTGACTTATTCGGTATACGCTTTCCGGAGACTGAGCTGCGAAGATATCTAACACAGCAGGAATACTATTTCCAGCAAAATGTCGTTTACCCATCGTAGCATTTTCAGAAGTTGGGAAAATCTTAATTATTTTATACAAATTTACTCTACTTGGTACCTTAAATTTTTTGTAAATAAAATGTGACATCGAATTTGACAATGACACTATCACATTTCTGCTGGTATTTTAATTGTAGCTTTCTCTGGGCCGTATTACAAATTTTACTAATTTGAAGGTAGATTTTTGCAAATAATTTTTAAATGACCATTCCAAATGAATCAAATTTCTACATAAAAATACAACTTTAATGCCTCTTCAAAAATGTATATATATATATATATACAACTTTTGCATAATATACCTATACATACATATCTATCCTGTCTAAGTATTATCATCTGGGGAGATTTGACCTTTTCAAAATTAACATGGGATTTCCTATGTCCCGTGTTCCGATGCACCACATGGTATACTGTTTATACTATACCTATACATACATATCTATACTGTCTAAGTATTATTGTACTAAATAATGCCCAAATTTACCAAAACGCAATTTTTGACTACGTCCAAATCGAAAAATTGGTGCCTTCTAAGATAGTCTCTCATAATTTCTTTTATATAATAATAATAATAATAATAATAATAAATAGTCTTATATTAAACGGGGAATATTCCAGGGTGAGGCACTAAGTTCCCTCTGGTTCTGCATTGCATTAAATCCATTAAGCAGCATGTTAACCCACACGGACAGTGGATTTAAGATATCCGAAGAAAATATGAGTCACTTTATGTATATGGATGATATCAAACTGATATCCAACACACAAAATGGCCTAAATAAACTTATAAGAACAACTGAAGAATTTTCCAATGATATAAGAATGAACTTTGGCCTAGAAAAATGTAAAACAAACCATATGAAAAGAGGAAAATGGTGTCAGTCAGATGACTTCATCCTTCTAGAAGAATCAGGAGGAGGAACTGTGAGATCTATGGATAAACATGAAACATACAAATATCTAAAGTTTATACAGTCACAGGGAATTAATGGCAGTGAAATGAAAAATCAAATAAAGAACACATTCAAGACCCGATTAAATGCTGTCATGAAGACCCAGCTCTGCGGAAGCAATAAAGTCCAAGCTACAAATACATTTGTAATGCCAACGATAACATATAGCTTTGGAATCATTAAATGGACCCCTACAGAACTGGACGAACAAAACAGGTCTGTTAGAACCACGTATACAAAATATCGATCCCATCATCCAAAAGCATGTAAAGAACGTTTCCATCTTCCAAGAGATATAGGGGGGCGAGGCGTCATGGATCTGCGACTACAACATAAAAAACAAATTAAAAACCTACGAACGTATTTCCATACGATAGCATCTACATCAAGCCTCTATGATACCATAAGCAAAACAGATAAAAAATTGACGCCTCTGAATCTTAGTGATAAAGAAATGGATATAGATGCTGATTACACAATAGCTCTGCAAAAAAGCAAGTGGCAAGGAAAAGAGCTACATGGCCGATACCTCAATACACTTGATCTGGACAGCATTCATAAGCCAGCTTCATTAGCATGGCTGACACACGGAACGATTTTCCCAGAGACAGAGGGATTTATGTGCCCAATTCAAGACCAAGTAATAGCCACAAGATCATACCTAAAATATATAATAAAGGACCCCACAATTAAAACAACTGTATGCCGAATGTGCGGAGAAGGAAACGAGAATATAGAACACATTATTAGTAGTTGTACAACGCTAGCTTCAAGAGAGTATACCGACAGACATAACAACGTAGCAAAAATAATACATACAGAACTTAGTTTGAAGTATAAATGCATTAACGAGCGCATTCCATATTATAATTATGTCCCAATGAACGTCCTAGAGAATGAGGCTTGTAAATTATACTGGGATAGAGAAATATTAACAGATCGGACAGTGCAACACAACAGACCAGACATATGTCTGCTGGACAAACTCAAAAAAGAAATCTATCTTATTGATATCGCTGTCCCTGCCCCTACAAATGTCAACCGAAAACATCAAGAAAAGATCGACAAATATATCTTACTAGCACAGGATATGAAAGAAGTCTGGGGAGTAGATAAGGTGTCAGTGGTGCCTATAGTGATTGGATCAACTGGAGAAATCCCCAAGCAGCTCCTTCACAATCTGAAAAAACTGGAACTTAACCAAAATCTTTACATACAACTTCAGAAGTCAGTTATTCTCGCAACATGCAATATAATGAGAAAAGTATTAAACTTGAGAAGATAGCTAAAAACTATTGTCTTGTCCCTTGGGGCCGACAATAGATTTACTTACCGTGTAACGTGACAAAAAAAAATAGTCTTTATTTTAATCCATAAGTATTACAAAAGGCGAAGTTGAAGCATTGCTTCCTATCTTAACCTTAATATGTATTTCTTAGAAGTTTTAATCAAGATGAATAATTTAAAAACTGTGTTAAACGTTTTTTGCAAGTTAAATACCATTCTTTATGTCATTTTCATCCCTCTGGCTATACATTTCATTGAAATTTATGACAACTGGGGTAACTTAATATATTTTAAAGCTAGTGGTGGTATAATGAATTTCTAGGTCCAGAGAGAATTGGTTAATTTATGTCTGCAGATAGTCTGGCAGAAAATTTTTAGCAGATTTAATCAGTGTTAACTCTGAGAAATATAAATTCTAGATTATTACTCTAATAATTTTCCATATCTATAGGAATGACATTTTTAATTATTTTTTTTAACAAGCAGAGACTTTTGATAATATTCATAAAGTTTTACAGTTTTAACTACCGTATGATCGAGAAAAAACGGCGTCAAAGGCGGCTGGGGAATGACTATCGATGCTATTTTTGACGAGGTCGAACTCTAGACGTCAGTTACTGAGAACTGACATAAAATTTGTCAAAAATTAATACCTTATATAGAAAAACCAGAAAAGAATGGAAAGTTTCCAGATACACATATCTATTTCCAAAAAATTGTTTTTTCAAATGTTTCGATCTGCACCAGTTCTACTCAATAAAAAATCGATATTAAATCATCCTTAATGCAGTAAACGCCTTTAAAAATAAAGAAGAGTAAGACCAGTAAGACTCTAACCTAACTAAATCTCGTCGTCCGACAAGCCTCCGACCGAGACATTTCGACAACATTTTTGATTATTGTATTGTTAAAATGTACGGATTAGCCTTTTATTATTGTTTCATACACACTAGACCGTTCAGATTTACTAATATTGCGTTGATTATAGCTGTAAATAAAAATGTGTGTTTAATACCAGTAAATAATCCGTTAGTTGATGGAAGAAGTATCGTGTTTATCGACAAAATTAATTGTAGGCTTTTAAATTTTGCCTAATATGGTCATATTTTGCAATATTCAACTCATAATTGTTGATACTTCTGGTGGATGATGTTCAATTTATACATATATAAAATATAAACAAACCAAATTGAAGTACTAGAAGCAATAAGGTGAGATAGTTATTTTTACGAATCCCTTTATTATTACTTCTTTACTTATAGAGTATCTGTTTCTGTGTATGCCTAAGTTTCTGTTTTCCAAGAAGCATATTAATTAAATGAACAAAACTGTGTCCAAGAAATAATCTATTGCATAGAGAATTTAATGAAAACAAAATTGGTGATGCTGTGTTCAAGTAAAGTTCCATGCAGGAATCAATGGTTATTGCTAAAATATTTTATTGGTGTATTGTCAATTTTATTTACTTATATATTACGTTATTTAATCTCAATAATTTTAGGCTCCTAAGTCATTTATTTACATACTTAACTTTTAACGTAACTACTGGTAGATTGTAGGAAATAATATACACATTGGAACAATTTAAGTAAATAAATGAATTAATATAATACATACATCAAGAAGTAATGTATAATTTTACAAAAAGCTGTATTAATCACTTTCGAAAATCATAATTGTTTTTTTTAGTAAGTCGCAGACAAATATTTTAGGTTTGTTATTAAATTAAATGATAATGTAATAAGTACAGATTTAGACTCTTGAACCAGGCATAGTATATTAATTAGTAGGGTTCACAGTAAAACATATTTTGTAATACCATTCGAAAGAAAATAAATACCTATATTATACTGTTTATAAAGTGAGTTTCATTGTAACATAACTTAAGAAAACAATTAATATGCATATGTCAATCATAAGAAAAGAATCTATTAATTTAATGAACTATACCCATAGTACTCGGCAAACAGTAAACCAAACCAAAGAAACTAAGACTTACAGTGTTAGATCATGTAGTATATAAATATTTTAATTTTATCATTTAATAAATAAATACAATATAAAATTTAAAATGCCAATTTTTTATTTTAAAACAAGTGATTTATATATGTATAAACAATTTACAATTATTTATCATTTAATTTATTGGCCACAGCTTCCGGGATTATAAGGCTAATATTTTGCTGCCTATATGCCTATATCTCAAAAAAAAGAATAATTAAGATTAATTAATGATTAAGTATCCCTGTATTTTTAAATGTTGAATCTTATGGACTGAAAAAACTGCTGATGATATTTCTACTTTCACTGACCGAAGATGCAGAAACCTAGAAGAAATACAAAAACAAATTGTACAAACATTTTAAGGTTTTTCTTAAATCCTCTATACAATAGACTATTTCTTGGACATAGTTTTGTTCATTTAATTTGTTTCTTAGAGGTTATACACAGCTGTAGATATTCTATAAGTAAAAAAGTAATAATACAGATTCGTAAAAATATCCCACCTTACCGTTTCTAGTACTTCAATTTAGTGTGTTTATATTTTATACATGTATAAAATTGAACATCATCCACCAGAAGTATCAACAATTATGAGTTGAATATTACAAAATATGACCATATTAAGCAAAATTTAAAGGCCTACAATTAACCTTGTTGATAAACACGATACTTCTTCCATGTATAGTAATAAACACACATAACTGGTTTACAGCTACAGTTTTACTAAATCTGGAGGGTCTAGTCTGTATTAGACAATTACAAAAGGATAATCCATATTAACTCTAAGAGTTATCGAAATGCCTGGAACTGGGACGAGTGGGACGGGCGATTGTTAGGTTAGAGCCTTTTTGATTTTTCTCTTCTTTACTTTTAAAGACGCATTTAGTATTAATTACGATTTACTGGATTTACCTTGTCGGCCTTGTGGTCGAAATGATTGCGCCGCATTCTAGTAGACTCAAGGTCGCCGGTTCGATTCCGGCCTCGGACATGGGTGTTAAATGTGTGTGTGAGTCTGTATTTGTCCGATTTTAAACGCTAATTAAATATTAAGAAATAAGCTGGCTGAATGTCGTAATAGACAAGTGGCCAAAAATAGGGAAAAAAAACGATTTACTGGATTTACCTAATATAGATTTTTTATGAATTAAAACTGGTATAGTTCAAATTATCAGAAGAAAATATTTTTTGGATATAGATTTCTGTATCCGGAAACTTACTATTGTCTTCTAGATTTTCTACATTTAGTATTCATTTTAATTAAAATTTAATTTTTTTTGAAGATCTTTAAAGTGAAAAGAAGAAGAATTTTAATTAACTAAAAAAATCAAAATATAGTTAATTAACTTTGAGCAGAGTTCGACCTCGTAAAAAATAGCATCGATAGTCATTCCCCAGCCGCCTTTGACGCCGTTTTTCTCGATCATACGGTATAATTTTAATATCTACCGGGTGCGTCTCAAAAGTGGCTCACCCCTATAACTTTTTTATTTTTTTAGTTAAAAAACGAAATTTGGTATGTTAGATGACATAAATGAGGATTGATTGACGTATTCAATTGTTTTTTATCACTTCCGGTTTCACCGGAAATGACTACAACTTTTGATTTTTAAATGGCACCCCCAGTATTTTTTTACTTTATTCGATAGAGAATGTCACTCTGAATAGAATGACATATCATATGTCAACTTTTGACATTTTCGCATATGGTTTATTTGTAATTAACTTGCGGTTCGTAACGAAAATTTAACTTGAAATACCAAGTGTGTGGTATAAAATTATTCGTAAAAAAATGCTTTTTCCAAATATGCTAATGAGCCACCCTCGTTCCATTTGAAAAAATTGAGATATGATTAAAAATACGATTTCAGCATTTTCTAACTGGCCAGGACAAGACACTAAAAACATTAGACGGTCAAATCTATTTTTCCAAGGCTCCAAGTAAAAAAATACCGTGGATGCCATATAAAAATCAAAAGTTGTAGTCATTTCCGGTGAAACAGGAAGTGACCAAAAACAATTGAATATATCAATCAATCCTAATTTATGTCCTATACTAACATACCAAATCTCGTTTTTTTATCTGAAAAATAAAAAAGTTATAGGGGTGAGCCACTTTTGAGACACACCCAGTATATGAAAACAATAAATAACAAAAATAAAACTTGTTCTTGATGTTTTTCTTGATATTGCTAAAAAATTAAATGTTTTTAACCGTAAACAGCTATCAAGCATCATAGAGTGCAAATATACATCTTATTGATTAATTTGAAATAAATTTGTTTATACCAGGTGTTTCTGGTGGCTCAACTCAACATATTGTCATTTCTATAACTTTTTTATTTTTTCAGATAAAAAAAAACGAAACTTGGAGATGTTATGACATAAATTAGGATTGATTGACGTAATCAATTGTCACTTTTCACTATTTCACCGGATGCTAAAATGACTATGACTTTTGATTTTTAAATGACACCCTCGGTATTTTTTACTTCACTTATTGATAGAAAATGACATTCTGAATAGAATGACATATCAATGCCATATGTCAACTTTTGACCTTTTCAATTATAAAAATCGCATTTAAATGTGTGCCATGGCCATAAATGTAACGACAATTTGACTGGAAATACCAAATGTGTGGTACCAAATTATTCGTAAAAATTGCTTTTTCTAAATATGTATGCTAATGAGCCACTCTCCATTTGAAAAAAAAATGAGATATGACTAAAAATACGATATGGGCATATTTTAACCGGCAAGGAATATACAGGGTGACAATTTGAAAACGAACAGTATTTAATATTACCTCTACCGATGATAGTAAGAAAATTTGGTGAAATACGTCAATTTACATATCAGTGGGGGCAATTTTTGAGGCATTTTTTGTCGTGTTACTTTCCACCCTTTGACCCTTAGTGCACTTACCCCTAAAATTTTAAATGGCAACCCCTATTTATTTCTTTTACCATTTTTGTGTTCCTTATAAAATTC